ACACAGCTGACTTCTCCATTGGGCCAGTGGCTCCATTGGGCTTGTTCCCTCTTGCATCCCAGCCACAGACAGAAGGCGCTCAATACATACATACTTGCTGGATGGATTTGATGGATGGATGGATGGTTGGTTAGATGGCTGGATGAATGGATGGATGTGTAGGTGAGTGAATTTCCACAGTAACCCTTGGAGATTCTCTCTGCTAGGCCCTGCTCTAAGTATTTTGAATTCCTTTCTTCACCCTTACCTGATCACGTAGTCCCCCTGTGAGTGTGAGCAGCCCAGGCACAGGGAAGTTCCAGTGTTGTCCACCAGACAGGAGCCAAGCTGGGGTTCATGCCCATAGTGTGTGCTCTCATCCACTCTTGTGGGAGACGTTGGGCAGCACACGCTGATGTGCAGTGGCTCTTAGGGCTCATGTTCCTGAGCCTGTGCCACTCAGTGCCCAGTGACCTGCCTGCTGGCCCCCCCCCCCACTCTCCCCTGCCTTCCTGAACTTTGGCATGTGGACTGACTCTCTGCTTGCTGGCTGTGTAACTGGGCAGGTGGCTGCCTCTCTGTGCCTCTGTCGCATTTGTAGGCATTGGGGCAGATTGAAGGTGTGAGCAACAGCACTGGGGTGGTAAGTGCTCTATAGTGATTGTTGTTGTTAAGTGCCATTGAGTCGGTTCTGACCCAGAGCAACCCTGTATAGGGTTTCCAAGGAGTGGCTGGTGAGCTTGAACTGCTGACCTTGTAGTTCAAACCAAACTTGCAGCCCAGCGTGTTATCGGGCCTTAATGTTGTTGAGTAATTTCCGACGCTTGGTGACCCCACGTGTGTAGAGTAGAACTGCTCCACACGGCTTTTCAGCAAGGCCTGGCTTCTAGGTGTGCTTGAGTTGCCAGTCTTTCCTAGTCCAGTGCTTAATTGCACCCCTCAGGGGATCCTTTAAGTGTTCGTATTGTTCTTTAGTAAGAGGCGGTCTTGCTCTGCAGTCTGTAGTCTTGCCGGGAAGCCTGCCTTTGCCTTGCTCCTGGGCTCCTGAGCAGTGTCCTCTGGTCCCTGACCCTTCCTGAGAGAGTGGCCCCACTTGAGCCTCCAGGGCTTGCCTGTTGGGGATCTGGGAATGGAGGCTTCTCCTCAGGTCCCCAGTGGCTTAGGGAAAGGTGGGGGACTGAGAAAGAGCAGGGTGTGCCGAGGCCTGTGTCTCAGCTCCACCACGTCCTTCATGGCTGTTTGTTTCAGTTTCCGCATCTGTGCCCTTAAGAATTAAATGGGATGGTGTCTGTGGAGGTGGCTTTTCAGTGCTGTTTTTTTCCTTGTCATGACTTGGGGGTGATGAAGGTTGATTCCCCTGGGGGACCTCCTTTTGGGGTGTGTGTACAGACACTTCAGCCCCAGCCTCAGTCCCAGATGGGAGTTCCCCTCTGCCCCAGACACTGTGTTGCAAACCCTTGAGTGCCCTGGACCGAGGCCCTTGCTTTTCCTCTGGAAACAAAGTGCTGCAACTCTGTAACCTCAGTCCAGTTGGAACAGACTCGGGGACTGGTCAGGCTGCGGAAGAGCCCCAGGTAGGCCCTACTGACCTCCTCCTGTGTCCTGGGGTGGACCATGGCTCCCTGTGCACAGGAGAGCTCCTGGCCGACTCAGTGTTGTTAACACCTCCCCTGACTTCAGGTACACAGCTGCTTCCCAGCATCTGAGTGGCCCCAGTCTCTCTGAGTAGTCTGAGCCTAGCCCTTGTGCCTGCTACCCATACCTATGGCTTTTGAGCTGCTTCAGGTGGGGCGCACCCTCGTTGGACTGTGTGTGTGAGAGTGTTCCCTCCCTCTCTCTGTTCTTAGCCAGTCCCTTATGACCTCTCCATAATTACGTAGACCCCTTGCTTCTTTAACATGTATTCATTATAACTTGGAGGGTCTCTGTGATGTCTCTAAAGAGCGTGGTGGCGCAGTGGGTGGAGTGTTGGGCTGCTGATAGCAGGATGCATGATTCAGGCCCACCAGCTGCTCTGTGGAAGGAAGATGAACCGGAAGCTCTGAGTCGGCATCGACTCAATGGCATCGAGTGCGAGCGTTGTCTTCTTCTCTTTCATTGGGGAGGGGTGATTTCTCTGAGCCCCTAAGTTGGCATTTTTCGATTTCTAATAAATAGAGTTTGATAAAGCCAGTCATGGAGTGGTTGTCTGTGACGTGCTCCTTTCTTTTGGAAGAACAGGAGGATTACTGTGTGAGTCGGGGTTAAGGCTCTGAGTTGTTCCAAAGGGGGCACAGGTTACTGCAAGTTGAGCAAGATGGGTCTGAGAGGACGGGGCCAGCATGCCCCTACCTTGCTAAGGATCGCGGCCTTCCATCCTGGGGTGGACTCTTCTGGTCTGTGGGGACAGTAGCGTTCGCTGGGACTTGGGGAAGGGAGGGCAGTGTGCCAAGCCCTTGATGGTTATGTCCACGTGGTATGTAGGAAGCGGGATCTCACGTGGCCGGACCACTTAGAGCGCCTCTTGTGTGCCTTGAGGGCCCCTCAAGCTTAGTTCTTGAGCTTGGTTCAGGATTGCTGGCCCTGGGGAAAGGTCACAGGCAAGTCCGTTGCAATTCCTACCGAGCCTGGAGTCCCTGCTGGAATTCTCTGTTCTTGTCTGTGCCTTAGACTCTTAATCTGTACATGGGAGGAGGGGGCCGTTAGTAACAGCTATGTGCTCTCTAAGTTCAGGTTATTAGAGGAGATGGCCTTACCTCCTGCTCCCTGCCCCTCACCCTCTGGAATGCCCTGGTGGCACAGCGGTTACAGCACTAGTTTGGCTTTAGCAGCACAGTGTTCCACTGACAAGGTTGTCTCGGCATGGATACCTGCCCGTTGTTACACTCAGCTGCTAAACTTGTCACCGCAGGGAGGTAGCACACACGTGTTCTGCCCACAGCAGCCGCAGGCTTCACTGAGTCTGAGAGCCCAGCCTTGGGCACACACCATTCCGTGGAGTACCAGCACAGCCCCTAGGACCGAGTTCACAGTGAACAACCACACAGCTTTACGGCAGTCTCAGAACATGGGGGAACGGATGGAATAGGCTAATAGAGCCCATCCCATCGGAGAGAAGAAGCAGGGTCTCATGGCCATGCCATAAGCACTGTGGAGTTGGCCTTGGGCTCTGAGCCCTGCGTGTACTTCCGTAAAGGGCGACAGCCGGAGTACCCTATAGGAGTTGGATTTGACTCAGTGACCGGGGATTTGGTTCCATGTGTGAGGAGCCCAGGTAGTGCATGGGTTAAGCATTGGGCTGCTAACCAAAAGGTTAGTGGGTCAAACCCACCCCTCATTCTGAGGGAAAAAGATGAGGCTAGTTGTTCCCGTAAAGTCTTACAGACTTAGAAACCCTAAGGAGCAGTCCTTTAGGTTGCTCTGGGTTGGAATTGGCTCGACAGCATTGGGTTTTGTTTTTGGGGTTTGGTTCCCTGTGTGAGGGGCCCTGTTGGCACAGTGGCTTAAGCACTGGGCTGCCAATCAAAAGGTTAGCAGTTCTAACCCATCAGCCCCACTTCTCAGGAGAAAGATGAGACTGTCTGTTCCCATAAAGATTTATGGCCTTGGAGACCCTATGGACAGCCCTGCTCTGTCATCTAGGGTCACGCTGAGTCGGAATTCTGTTGAAGGCATTTCAACAGTGAGTTTGGCTCCCTGTGGGACCTTAGGGTCGGGTGGGGTCTCAGCTGCCTCTTAGGGCTGCAGGGCAGCTTCAGGAAGGCGTGTGCCAGACCCTACCTGTTCTGGTCCTGAGAGCTAGATGAAGATACTGAGGCTTCTTTACATATTGTGACATGGTAGTGGGGCCCTGCTGGTCCTCTTTGGTGGTGGTGATGTGCCCTAGTCCAACTCACAGCAACCCTGTGTAGGGTTTCCGAGGCTGTAAGTCTTTATGGGAGCAGAAAGCCTCATTTTTGCACCATGGAACAGCTGGTAGTTTCAAACTGCTGATCTTGAGGTTAGCAGCTGGACTCATAACCACTTATTCTTAGCAAGTAGTCTGCTTTTCCCACCGGCCTACAGACAACAGCACACACACACATAGGGGATTCATTGTGTTCATTATAACTTGTATTGCACCACTGGGCACTGCTGGGTCAGAACTGGGGTAACACTGGCAGTTTTGTATCATTCAACCAAATGTGTTTTTCTTTTTGGTCTTTGGCTGTTTTCACTCCTTTTTCCTACATTTCCCCTCTCCACAGGTAGAACAGTTTACAAGAACCAAGAAAAAAATCTTCCCCAGTTTAGTTCTAACCCCAAAGTGATCACAACCCCAAACTATTCACTGCCACTGAGTTGATTCTAACTCACAGCGCCCTATTTGGGGTTTCTGAGGCCGTAGGAGCATCTGGTGGGTTTGAACCACTGACTTTGCGGGTAGCAGCCCCATACCTAACCCATAATGCCACCAGGAGTCTACAGAATTTCAGAACTACTGTACTGGTTCTCAAACTAGTCTTCCTCTTGCTAAGACCTGGTTCTCTGCCAGCTGACTTGTGCATCCTGTCCTTCAGGACCTTGCCCAAACCTCTCTTCCTCTTGAATTTCACAGCCCCCACCTCACTGCCTCCCCTGTTAGCTGGGAGCCCTGTTAGCCAGCTCTGGCCTTGAGAGAGCTCTTCAGCTTCTTTGGCTAATGAATATTTCCTTTGACTCTTGGTTTTCTTTTGCAAAAACATTTTGGCTTGTAAACTTGTGGTTGCCACTTGTTCCGAAGGAATTCTAAGGAACATTGGCTTCTTCCTCCTTTAGGGCTCAGGGTGGTGGCTGATTGTCAAGAGGTTGTGGAGAAAGGTGACTTAAAGAGCACCTGCTGGGCTCTCACCTGGCCAATGTAGGCACAGAGACGGCTGCCTTCCTTGTTCCACTCCTGCCCTGCTTTCCTACTGCCATAATCTCCCATAGTCCCTCAGCTCGCCATGGCTCACCCACTTGGAGGGGTGGGAACTTGGGCTGGGCCGGGACTCAGGGCCTTGGGTACGCATGTGTCCCTGCAGGGAGGAGTGGATGCAGGCCATCCAGATGGTGGCCAACAGCCTTAAGCAGCGGGGCCCAGGCGAGGACTCCATGGATTACAAGTGTGGGTCCCCTAGTGACTCTTCCGTGGCCGAGGAGATGGAAGTGGCAGTCAGCAAGGCGCGGACTAAGGTGGTAAGTGCACCACCCAGTGGCAGGTGACCAGGGATGAGGACTACTGATCTGCAAGCAACCCCATACAGGCCTACACAAAGTCTAGAGTGGGCAGGCAGTGGAGCTCCCGAAGGTGGCTGCCCTGGGGCTGGTCTGTGCCCATGGGGTGTGGGCAGTCCTGGGAGAGCTGCTACCCTGGCTGGTGGTCAGATTGTGCATGTGAGTATTGCCTTAGCCTCACCCTGGAGGCCATTGAAGACCTTGCAGGGCACTGGGCTGGGAGAGCCATGGACTGAAGGCCGCTTCAGAACAAACAGTTGGTGCCTGGAGCCTCCCTTCCTGCCTCCGGCCTGAGTCACTTGGCAACAGCGTCCTTTGCTTCTCCTCTTCCTTTGTTGGAATGTCCTCCTGCAGGTGCTGACACCCCCATCTCCCTTTTCTTCCCCTGGGCAGACCATGAATGACTTCGACTATCTCAAACTCCTGGGCAAAGGCACTTTTGGCAAGGTCATCCTGGTGCGGGAGAAAGCCACTGGCTGCTACTATGCCATGAAGATCCTGCGGAAGGAGGTGATCATTGCCAAGGTGGGTTCTGGATTTTAAGGAATGTAATCACAGCACCATAATCATACCCTGAGTCCCTGGGTGGTACAGACTGTTAACACACATAGCCGCTAACTGTGCACCCAAATACACCTTGGAAAAAAGACCTGGCGGTCTGTGTTTCTTAAAAGATCCCCGCCCTGGAAAACCCTATAGAGCCCTGTACTCTGACGCACGTGACTTGGAATCCGATTGACTGCAGTTACTTACTGGCCGTTTTCATACTCACTAAAAGGACCAGACACTCCTGGTGCAATTGACTCAACGTGTGCCTTCTCAGCCTGAACACTGGGGATCCCTTGGGCCAGATCATTCTTTACTTCAGGGATTGTCCTGTGCCCTGTAGCGTGTCACTAAAGCCAGCAGCACACACCCTGCTCCCCATTTGTGAGAATTTCGGATGCCTCCAGAGCTCACCAGTTGTCCCTGGGGAGAACTAAGGGTCTGGGTTGTCGCAGGTGAGTGGGAGGTTTGTCAGCTCTCCAGGTGGTAGTCTGTGTCATCAGTACTCCAACTTAAATCTGTTCACCTGGAGGACCTATGAGACAGTGCTGGCTGGGCCCACCCCCAAGTGGTGTAGAGTCAGTGGGTCGGGGTGGCCCCACGGCATTGGAAGCTGATGCTGCCATTGTGGGGATTCTGGCATCAAGTTGGTCCTTGGTCAAGGACTCTTTGTAGGTGGTGGGACCCACATCCTATGGTGTTACCACAGGGTGCTTATCATGTCTGGTGGAAAAATTGCTCTGTGGACTCGGAGGGTGGTGGTTTGACCCTCTGTCATCAAAGTCCTGTCAACTTTTCAGTCAGTGGGTGTGCGAGCTGCTCAGGATCCTTGGTGGGGTCCGTTGTTGGCTTGGGGATTGTGAATGGTAGTATTTGACTCTTGTCTTTCCTTCTGCCCTCTGTTGGCTAGGGATTGAACTGCTTTCCACCAGCACACAGCTCCTCACCTCCCTCGGTCTGTGGGGTGGGCAGCCTGACATCCGGCACTCTCTCTGTCCACAGGATGAAGTTGCCCACACCGTCACCGAGAGCCGGGTCCTCCAGAACACCAGGCACCCATTCCTCACTGTGAGTGTATTGTGGACAGCTGAGGGCGAGTGGAAACTTAGTCACCACAGTGCCCCAGATGGGAGGGTCGGCTCCTGAGTCACTGGGGCTGTCAGCTTTTACACAGAGCGTGACGTCTATGAAGAACCGATACTCCTGCCTCAGAAGATGGCTCTGTAGAAACACAGCTTCTGTCTCGGAGTTAGGGGCACCTGGCAGGGCTGGTGACGGTGGGACACGGTGTGTTTGTGTCAGTCTAAAGGTATAGTCCTGGAAGCAGACCTCTGAGTACTACGCTGCTGTCACTTAGACTGAGGGCTCCTGGCTCCGTCACGGCCAACAGCCGTCACTTAAATGGTTGAGGTAGAGGAGGTCATGTGGGTTGTTTCTTGAGCTCAGTTCTGTCCTATTAAAGCCACAGCTCTTAACTCACATGACATCTTATGAAGTACCTCAGTGTTGACAACAGGGAACAGTAGAGTCATCGTGTGAGTACGCCGTCGTACTTGACCGACAGCTTGTCTGTCGTCCTGCAGGCGGCCACTGCCACCTCCCGGGTACCTTGAATCCGTGTGTTATCTTTTTCTGCATTTAACATATTTAAACATGTTTAAACAAGAGAAGGACAAGAAGAGATGTAAAACAGCTGTAGTTGCTCAGAACGGAATTTCTCCCAGGGCAGCCTTTGGTACAGGCTGTGTGGAAAGCAGCAGACAGGATGGCTCTCTGTCCTCTAAGCCAGGCGTTAGCTCACATGCTCCCCAGGAGGATGTGGTTGCTGGGCCCCAGGTCCAGACAGGAGGGAGGGGGAAACATGCCCTTCTCCTTCCGACTCTGTACTCCCCCTACTCCCCACAGGCTCTGAAGTACGCCTTCCAAACCCATGACCGTCTGTGCTTTGTGATGGAGTACGCCAATGGTGGGGAGGTGAGCGGGCACCCCATCTTGCTTAGGAGTCCCTCTTTCTAGTGGGGAAGGCCCCAGAGGAAACATTCTAGTCTTGAAGCCCATCAGACTTCCCTTGTTCTCCTGGTAGAGGAGTGGGTCGCTCTGGCTCCTTCCCTGCAACCCCTGCTTCTCCCTCAGACGTAACTCATGGATCAGTGCTCACCACTTAGTGTTACTGGCTCCTCTTTGCTTGCTTGCATCACTGGCTGGCCCTCACACTTCGCCCTTCCTAGTTTCTTTCTTCCCTGCTGAGCTCTTCCCTGCTCACTCTCCCTCACAATGTCCCTCTGGCTGTCCCTTGCTGGCTCGTGAAGCATGTCTCACTATGTCACTGTTCTCAGTACCAGTGTCTTGGGAGGGTAAGAGCAGGTGGGCAGTCTAGGGACCTGACCTCCCCCTCCCCTCCCTTTCCTGGCAGCTCTTCTTCCACCTGTCCCGGGAGCGCGTCTTCACTGAAGACCGGGCCCGGTTTTACGGTGCAGAGATTGTCTCAGCCCTTGAGTACTTGCACTCACGTGACGTGGTGTACCGTGACATCAAGGTGAGCTCTTTCAGGAGCCAGGACTGTGGAGCATGACTCTCGTTCAAAGTAGAGTGGTCGGCTGCCATCTTTGAGCCAGACACCGCTGTTTCCAACTCTTCCAGTTAAGAGATTTGGTTGCTGTGTCACACCCATACTGCCCTTGTTTTCTAGGAGGGAGGTTAAGTTTCTAGCGAGGCACTGACCCATCGTTTTTCCCATTTTACACATTGAGGTTCATTCTGGTTCCATTCCATCAGCCATGACTGATTCAGTAAGAACTAATCCGATGTCCTGGGTATAGCCACCCAGTGCGTTCTTTGTAGCAGTTCAAACAAATAGCAAAGCTACATGCCCTATGTGGCCATGTCTCTCAGGTAATGTTGCTTGAAGGAAACTCAGAGGGACAGATGTCTGTGTGTTATGTACAGATGTAAACGTAAGAGGTAAAAGCTTAAAAGAAAAGCAAGGAAGTAAACGTTACTTCCAGTCTGGGCTGATGATTAATGGCTGGGACCCTCAGAGGTCGTCTGGGGGCTGGTAGTGCTTCCTTTTCCCTGGTGGGGTTCACTCCAGCATGATGGCCACCCGACTTTACAATTAAATTGCCCAGTTGTGTTTTATGATTTGTGCTCTCTCTTTCCTGGTGCAAATTTCCAAATTAAAAAACAAACAAACAACAAACTAGAAAACCAGTAAAAGATAGCTCTTTCCCATCTGAGGTTGGGGAGCTAGCCAATGTTGGGGCAGCAGGCCCAGCTTTTCCAGTTCCCACTTCCCCTGGGGTGGTAAGCTGGGGGTATAGGATCTGAGCCGTGTATATCCCTAAGGGGAGGGGGTTGGGATCCGGGGGGTGGCGGGAACCCCTGAAAGGACAGGCCCCAGATACACTGACTCTTTCAACAGCTGGAAAACCTCCTGCTGGACAAAGATGGCCACGTCAAGATCACCGACTTTGGCCTGTGCAAAGAGGGCATCAGCGATGGGGCCACCATGAAAACCTTCTGTGGGACCCCGGAGTACCTGGCGCCTGAGGTGTCTGGGACTGACTGGGGACATGGGCATGTGAGCCAGGGTTGTGGGTGTCCCCCCAGGCTGGCCCCTCACTGCCCCCCTCCCTCAGGTGCTGGAGGACAATGACTACGGCCGAGCTGTGGACTGGTGGGGGCTGGGCGTGGTCATGTACGAGATGATGTGCGGCCGCCTGCCCTTCTACAACCAAGACCACGAGCGCCTCTTCGAGCTCATCCTCATGGAGGAGATCCGCTTCCCGCGCACGCTCAGCCCTGAGGCCAAGTCCCTGCTCGCTGGGCTGCTCAAGAAGGACCCCAAGCAAAGGTGAGCGCTGACGCCTCTCCCGCCCCACCTGCCACCCCTGGTACCGGATCAGGCAGCTCTCTCTGTCAGTGTGCACCCACTCCTGGATGCTCACCGTCCCCACAGCTCCCTCAGGGATTCTGCGTGTTCTCCACACGGCCCTCTTTTATGGTGGGACCCTGAGGAAGGAGCAGGGTGGCCCCCCTGGGTTGGGGCTCCCGGCGTTGTAAGTGGTAGAGCCTGAGTGTGAACATGGCTGTGCCCTCACCCACCGTCCTGGGCTCGGGGTGAGGGTGGCACATGAGCTGCCCACGCCTCAGTTTCCTCATCTGTGCAGTGGGTGCTATGGCCAGGGCATGTCCAGAACAACAAGGCTGTTCAGGGCCCATCTCCCAGAACTGGCTGTCTTGGGGCTGGGTGCTGATGCCCCTGTCTCTGTCCAGACTTGGTGGGGGGCCCAGTGACGCCAAGGAGGTGATGGAGCACAGCTTCTTCCTGAGCATCAACTGGCAAGACGTGGTACAGAAGAAGGTGAGCCCCACTCCCACCCACGCCAGCAGGAGCTCCCAGGGCCCAGTTTTCCCCCAGCAGCTCCCTGAGTCTGTGTTCCTCTTCTCCGTAGCTCCTGCCACCCTTCAAACCTCAGGTCACTTCTGAGATTGACACCAGGTACTTCGATGACGAGTTCACTGCCCAGTCCATCACAATCACACCTCCGGACCGCTGTGAGTGCTGGGGGCCCTCCCGCCTAGGCTGTGTGTGTGAGTGGGGGACGGTGTGTCTGCTCTTGGCCCAGCTCCCCAGGATGGAAACCCCATGTCTGGGCAGTTTGGCCTGTGGTCTGCTTGCAGAACCTTCCATTGCTGGGTCCTCTGGACCTGGTGGGTGTAGCCCATTCTGGAACTCTGGGCAGGAAGCAGCGTGGGTGCCCACAGTTGGCGGCAGTGGCAGCCCACAGACAGTTGGGTCTTTGGGGTTGAATTAGTTCTGTGCTAGACAGTGCTGGCAACAGCAGTGACCAAGATAACCCAGTGGGGAAGCAGACTGGGCCCAGAGAGTGACCGCCCAGAGGAGAAATGCGTGCCTAGCCTGGGGTCGGGAGGCTTCCACAAGGCCACATGTCTCCCGAGCCACATTTCAGGCTGAGCTATGAGGACGTGACACCCCCTCCCCCCCACTTCAAAGTAGCAGGGAGCCATGTGTAATCAGGGAGCAGGAAGAAGGTCAAGGGAAATTGGGCGGAGGGATGGGAAGGGGTGGCCATTGGGGCCAGAGGAGGCAGTGTGTGTGAGGAGGGGGACACATTCCGGAGTGTCTGGGGAACCCTGGAGGTTTGTGGGTAGATGAGTACCAGGGCTGCCTCTGTCTGGGCTCTAGAAAGTTTTTGGCTGTCATGTGGAAGGTGGATTGAAGTGGGCCAGAGTGGAGACCAGGGCCGGGCACCACCTGAGAGCTCTGGGCTAGACCTGGGACTTGGTGTGGGGGAGGGGAGAGGCTCACCTGGAGACCCCTCAGCACAGTTACTCTTGCTGTCTGACTGCAACCCTTGCTATTGGCCCTTTCCTTTGGGGCCCCCGGAGAGCCTGGGCCTTCTGAAGACTGGCCCACCAACCTACTTCCCCCCACCCCACAGATGACAGCCTGGGCTCCCTAGAACTGGACCATCGGACCCACTTCCCCCAGTTCTCCTACTCGGCCAGCATCCGCGAGTGAGCAGGCCCCGCCGACCGACCGACTGATCACCATTGCAGGAGGCACGGGTGGCTTTTAAAAATCTTTTTATTTTGCTTTTTTTGTTTGTGTTCCTGGCCCTCACCTCCTTACCCTCTTCCCAGCTCACTCCTTTTCCTCTCCCAGATTCCTCAGCTGTCCCAGCAGCCCTGCCTCCAGGGAGCACATGTTCCCCTCACTTTGGTGCCCTGACTAGTATTGGAGACTCCACCTCCTGCCCCAGGACTGGACCTTTGGGAGGCTGGGGAGATTCTTTTTAATCAAAACCAACCTGAAACTGGTGTGTGGCCTTTTGTCTACACACTGCTGCTGGACAGAGGGGGTGGCTTTCTTAAAGGATGCCATGTCCAGCAGCGGCCCTGGTGCTGCCCCTGTCCCTGTGGCCCAGGCTCCCAGTGGCCTGGTGTGGGGCCACCCAGCCTTCCCCTACGGGGGCAGAGAAGCAATAATATGCTGAGCCCATCAGGGGCCTAGGGAAGCTATGGGGTCAGAGGGTTTAAGGGCTCCCTTGGGTGGATATGATGCTATGTCCTTCTGGCCCCAGCCTTGGCTTTACCCCACCCCACAGACTGCTCTCTGACTTTGGAGATGAGGCAAGAGGAATATTTTGGGGCTCCCCCTGCCCCCAGCCCCGTGCCTTACTAGGGCTTGCTTCTAGCCAGCCTTCCTTCTTGTTGGACCCTGGCTGGGCCTGGCCCCAGCACCACTGAGGGGTGAGGACTGGAATCTCCCCTTCTCTCTGCTTGGGGCCAAGTACACCTGCCTTGGCTGTTACACATTGTGCACCGAGACAGTATTGGGCCCTGTGGACAGGTTGAGGAACAGGTGTGTGTTGGGACAGGCGGTCTCTGAGAAGGGAACCCCCAGGTCCCCCTGCCCTCCCCACTCTCCAGGGCCCCACGCTCTGCAGCCTTAAGGTGCGCATGAGTGCGAGTACACAAGTGATGTGTGTCGGGCACATGAGTCAGGCCCTTGTGTGTGCGTGTGTGGTGTGGATGGAATTGGGTCCCTGTCACTGGCCCAAGCATTTCATCCCTTAGGGGTGTGGGAGAAGGGGGGCTGACCTAGTGGGAAGACTTATACCTGCCCTACCCATGTCTCCCCTCCTCTCCCTTCCCCTCCCACCCAACATCTACAGTGGTTTGGAATTTAATTTTTGTGTTTTTGACCCTCCCAACCCCCTTCCTATACTAGAGAGTTCACAGAAGGGCATCATAAAGTGGGGATGGGCTAGGTTGGTTTGGGTGGGTGGGTGGGTCTTTACCTTTCTGTGTGTGTGTCTTTTTTTTCTCTGACATCTCCCCTGCCCTCTGGCCTGTCTCCATTTCTTCTTGTATTTGTACGGTACGAGCAATAAAGACCAGGGCCCAGCCTGCACTTGTGCTGGCCCACCACCTGGGACCCTCCCTGGGTCTGGAGTCTAATCCCTGCGCACCAGCTGTCACCAGCCAGAAGGTGGGGAAGCAGGTTGGAGAGGCCGAGCAAAGGCTGGAGGGGGGATTGAGCTAGGTGTGCGCCTCTGGACTTGGGCAGCTGTGCGTGTTGTGGACGGAGAAGCGGGGGCCTGTCCTCTCTCTTCTTGGTCTGCAGCTTAGTGATAACTCCATTACCCGTAGTCGGTGCTAATCTTCCCATCAGCATGGACAAAATTCACTACTTCCCAGAGAGATTTTCCCTCTCCCTACCCCTGTCCGCCCTTAGTAACCACTGGTACCTGTTAGCTTCTTTATAATTAGTTTTATCATTTTTTTTTTTATATAAGTAAGCTCATATAACTTTTGGTTTTTTTTTTTGAGAATGACTTTGCAAAATAAGCTCAGCCTAATGTTTTTTGGTTCATCCATCTTGGAGCATGTATTGGACTTCATTTTTCTTTAAAGCATAGTATGTGTGTCTGTATTTATGTCTGTACCACATTATCCGTTCATCTGTCCGCAGGCACTTGGGTTGTTTTCCCCTTTTTGCTATTGTGACTAATGTTGCAATGAACATCAGTATGCATATGCCTGTTTGTGACATTACTTTTAGGGCCCTAGGGTATGTACCTAGGAGTGGAATTGTGGGCTCATCTGGTAATTTTATATCTAATGTTTTAAGAAATCACCATGTTATTTTCCACGATGGGTTGGATCATTTTACATTCCCACCAGCAGTGGATAAGCGTTCCCATCACCCCACATCCTTGCCAATAGTTGGTATTTTCTGGTTTTTTTGGATTAGTGCCATTTGAGCAGGTATGAGGTGAAAACTTTTTCTAGCTTTGATCTGCAGTTCCAATGACAATGAGCATCTTTCTGCGTGCTTGTTGGCAGCTGAAAGTGTCTGTTCATGCCCTTTCTCCAGTTTTGATTAGGTTATTTGCCTTTTTGCTGTTAACCTGTAGCAATTTTATATATTTTTTTAGATATTAGACCCTTATTAGCTATGTCATTGCCTTTTTACACTTTTGATGAATTCTTTTTGATGAACATTAAGTATTTAATTTTTATAAGGTCCCAGTTATCTTATTTTGTCTTCTGCTTGTGTATTTGTAGTTGCATTTGATAATCTATCATTAAAAAAAAAACAAAAAAACAACAAAATTCCATAGTTTGGCCCCTATGTTTTCTTCCAAGAACTTTTATCTTTCACATTGAGATCCTTGATCCATTTCTAACTGGTTTTGTGTAATGGTGTGAACTGTGGGCCCTGCTCCATTTTTCTGTGTGTGAAAATTCAATTTTGCCTGCACAATACTCAGGAAGCAGTTCCTTCCCTCAATGAATGGACTAGCACTCTTGTAAACCAACAAAACAACACACACTTTCCATAGATTTATAGATTTCTTTCTGGGCTCCCAATTCTGTTTCACTTGCCTGTGTCTATCGTATTTGGTTACAGTGACTGTATAGTACGTTTTGATATTGGGAGTATGAGGTCTTCTACTTAGCTCTTAAAAATTACGCTGGCTGTTTGTGACCTTTTCGATATCAAGATGAGTTGTTGTTTTCCATTAGAAAATGCTGTTCGAATTTGATCAGGATTGCATTGAATCTAGTGAGTTCACATGTCTTTCCATCTGTGTACCCGTATGTTAGCATCTTACAGAAGTGTTTTCTAGTTTTCATTGTATAAGTCCTCTACATCCCTGGTTAGCTTTATTCCTAGGTATTTTAGGTGCTGTTGTAAATGGTATTGTTCTCATAATATCTTTGTCAGATTTCCCCATTAGTGTATTTAGAAAGAAAAATAAATAACATATGTATTATAAGGGTTCCTGAAGGAGAAGAAAGAATTTTTGAAGAAATAATGACAGGCAATACCCAAAATATCACAAAAGATAAGAAATTTTACACCTAAAAGCTCAATTAATTTATGATAAACCCTAAAAAAACAACTGATTGTTGTGTGTTGATCTTGCACCTTATAGTTTTGCCGACGTCTTCTAGTCGTTCTAACCGCTATTTTATGAGTCTCTAGGATTTTTTTTTTAATCTAGGATCAGATCATGCACACAGATCAAGTTTTACTTCTTCCTTTCCGATTCGAGTACCTTTTATTTCTTGTTTTCGCCCGATTGCTCTTGTTAGAACTGCCAGTGTACTGACTACAAATGGTGTTTGTGAGTATCCTTGCCTTCTTTCTCTTCTCGAGGGGCAGGCTCTCAGTCTTTCTCCATTCACTATAATGTTGGCAATGGGCTTTTTGTATATGACCATAATCCTGTTAAGGGATTTAAATTCCCCTTCTATTCTCAGTTTTTGTTGAGAATTTTTATCGGGAAATAGTTTTTGGATTTTTATCAAATCCATGTTTCCTTTTCTATGTTTACTGAGAAGATTGTGTTGTGGTTCTTTATATTAGTTTTCTCAGTCTGTTGCATTGATTGATTTTCTAATGTTGAATTTTTCTTTCATTCCTAGAATAAATCCTACTTGGTCATGGTGTATAATTGTCTTAGTATATTGTGAAATTCTGTTTGCAGTAACCTTGTGGAGAATCTTGTCATCGGCAGTCATGAGGAATATGGCGGTGTCTGTAGTCGCCTTTTCTTAACGATGTCTTCATCGGGTTTTGGTGTCAGGGTAATGTTGGCTTCACAGAGTGAGATAGGGACTATTCCTTCCTAGTCGATATTTGGAAGAGTTTGAGTAAGACTGGTGTCAGTTCTTTGAATGATAAAATACCCAGACGCTCTCTAGTCCAGAGGTTTTCTGTTGTTCGGAAGTTTTGGATTACGGATTCAATTGCTTGTTACAGGTTTGTTGACGTGTTCCATTTCTCTTTGTGTCAATGTAAGTATATTAGGTGTCTCTAGGAATCTTTGTCATTTGAATCTGTTGTAATATCTCCAGTTTCTGGGTTTTTTGGTTATTTACCCCCTCTCTTTTCCTGTGTGTGTCTAACCAGGGATTGGTTTATTTTATTGATTACTTTTCAAAGAACCAACTTCCTGGTTTTGTTGCACTTTGTTTTCATAGACTCTATTTCTGTTCAGATCTTTATCATTTTCTTTCTTCTGGTAATTTTGTCTTTTTTGTTGTTCTTTTTCCTCATGTTACAGAGTGAAGTCATTGATTTGGGATCTTCTTTTTTAATGTTGCCATTGATTGCTTTGAGTACTGCTTCCCTTGTGTCCCAGAGATTTTTGTCTCTGTTTTGTGTATTATTATGTTTGGTTAAGTGCTTAGCTATTTTGTTTTCCCTCTTTAGTGTGTAATTTTTTATTTTCTTTGTGCTTATCATAGGGGGAATACATTTTATATCTCACATTTAAAACTATCTTGAGACCAGTTTAACTTCCTTAACACATAAAAAGTTTGTATCTAACCATCATCCATTTTATTTGGATATTATTGTAAGTTGCATCTTTGTAGCTTGGCTTCCCTGTAAATGAAATTTACTTTACTGTTACATGTTATTTAGTTAATACTTTCAGTATTTTCCCCACTATAATTTTGTCACTGTCATCATGAGGGACATATTTGCCATCTGCAAATCTCTTCAGCGCTAATCT